GATGCTCTGTCGAATACCATGTTTATACTTCAAGTCTCAAACTGCTCAGTGTATTGAAGGAGTGAATTATGAGCGGAATCATAAAACCTTCCTCGTCTTTCATGGGAGATAAAAAAAAGAAATGGAAGAGAACAAAAGATGATGCCACTTATTCTTTGTGGTCAGCGGCCAGTGCTAATAAAGGGGCCGGCGCAGTCTGGTTTGACGGGGAGGCGCACAGTGGAGCTCCGCCGGAGCTTCTGGTGAACTTCTGCTTATCCTTTGATGTCAGATACCATCTTCTGTCTTGTCCTTGTACAAGTGGCAGTTGATTTGTCTTATCTCCCATGCCACGAAGCCGCAACTTCAACACGATCTCAGCAAATAGTCTTACATGGTCTGTGGAGTTTCTCTGTTGCTTTTCAACACGTTTGGTTTCAAATTAAGTAAAGGATTCTCAGCTGTGTCTGTGTTTGCGCTCGCTGGGAAAGAACTTGAATGATTTGAATTGGAACAATGTTTAAAGGTGCTTTTGTGTTATTTGGGGGATTAAAGCCTTAAATATTCCATTGTGGTTATTCACAGGAACCGTTACCTCGTGTTGGTTTTTGAATGCGTCGTCTTCCTGGTGCGCTGAAGGCCTCTTCCCAGGAATTGTTAATTTACCCTCCTGCAATTTTTATTAATTTTTTTTTTGCAGCCATCTAGCCTTGGCCTAAGGTCTCGACAGTTGTGCATGTGGCAGAGGATAGATCTGTGCACAGAGCCAGAGTGGGGAGGGGGGCAGCCGTTGTGTGACAGGACTGCTTTGGCCCCTGTGGAGAAGGAGCTGGTGGCTGCCACGGATGGGCCTCTGGCCTCATTAATCATCCGTCTCGATTGTTCCAGCGCAGACGCGAATCTCCACTTCAATGGGTCGCACATCAAAGGAGCGGATCTGCTGTTTTCATTATGCATGGAGAGGCCTAGTTATGTCAAGTGCAAGGGGAGTGCGCTCTGTGGAAGCGGCAGGTCCGGGGGGGAGATGGGGGGGGTGGTTGGGCAATTGGAAAATCCTTACCCATAAGCCCCTGCTAGGATTAAAGGGTTTCGGCAGCGGCATGGCGGGCAGCCCCTGGACTCGGGGTGACGTCATGAGGGCCGCCTTGCTCGCATTCTGAAGTGTGTTCTGGTTCTCCGTGGCCAAACAGATGCAGTGCTGAGGAGCCCCATCAGGCCCACATATTTATTGATGTCCGCCGTCGGCTTGATTATCGTGCAGAAGCCGCCTAGCCTGAATGCCTGCTTGACGCATCCGAACGCTGTCGGGGGGCCGTCTTGGGGATTCTCCCTCTGGAGGGCCCAGATGTGTCACCTCCTGTTGACCAGTGGGCCCCTTTGGGAGGGGCGGGTCAGGGCATCGTTTCATTGTGGCAGGGGTTTGGTTTTTCCTGGGTTCTCAAGACGCCTGATTTAGTAATGGCTTGGTTTGTGCTGCGCAGTATTCGCCACAGTTGCCTGAGTACTCGCCACAGTTGCCTGAGTACTCGCCACAGTTGCCTGAGTACTCGCCACAGTTGCCTGAGTACTCNTCGCCACAGTTGCCTGAGTACTCGCCACAGTTGCCTGAGTACTCGCCACAGTTGCCTGAGTACTCGCCACAGTTGCCTGAGTACTCACTGATTCTTCCCCTGCAGGGTTGTGTGTGACCTGCAGATGGCCTCACTGCTCCGGAGCAGTCTGTGCTGGCCAGGGGGTGTGGTCAGTCTCCTTGTTTATTTGAAAACAACAATAACCTAAGAGGAGAGTCTTAATAGTATGAGTGGCCTTGGTAACTACTCATATCACACACATTATCGTTTGTTGGTATGAGTTTAAAGTCATTTAACGAGCTCCATGTGCTGCTGCCTTGGTTTTGGCATCCCAGTTCTCCCCTTGCCGTGTCTGTAGACTATCCCACTGCCAGCCATTGCCACTCCGGGCTGGACTTCAGCAGCTCCGGGATGGAGCCTTGCAGAAATCGATCGATCCTCTCCGTCGGGCCCGAAGCTCGTTATTGCCGTTTGCCAAGTGACGCGCGTATAAATCAAACGCGCCCCTTCTGAAGTTAACGGATGGTAATTGCCGAGAGAAAAAGGCGAAGAGGAAGGGAGTGATATTGGACACGGCGCGTCCACAGCCCGGCCGCCTTATCGACCCAGCTCCCGCCATTGGCCGCCTTATGCGTGGAATGTGCGGGGTGGGGGGGCCACAGACGAAACATGGAAAGAGAGGGGCATTGCTTCTGTGTTATCCCCGGTTCTGGCAGCCTAATTAAATTGGTTCATGTCTTGTCAGGAAAATACCCTGTTTGATTTAATTAGCCAAATGTTTCTATCCCCCTCTGAATAAATTGATTTTCAAGAACTGGGATTTGATTGGAGTTCATGGGCTCACTAGCAGCAACACATGAATCCAAAAGCAGGGACCTTTCATTTTCTATTAATTTTTAAAGTCTTATAATGCCCCCCCTCCTCCCCCCGTCCCTGACTTATTTCTATGTTTTTCCCGCTGATGTTGCCCCAGGCCTGGTTAGCTGGTTAGGCCTACCCTGCCTTCCTCGTCATGCCTGCTCCTCTGTTTGTCTTGAACGTGAGATTCTGGTACCTGAGCATCGCTGACCTGCGGTCACGGTCCATTTTCTGTCCCGCCTCGCTTCTACATGCCGGAACACCCCCTGCACTGCGGAAGGACCCGCGAATGGGGACACCAGTGAGCAGCAGTCTAGACACTCTGCCTGCCCCCCTCCCTCTCTGTCTGATCTTTTCTTTGTTGACTCATCGGGCTCAGAGCCGTGGGGGGTTAATTATTGGTGGATCTCGGCAACATAGATGGCACAACTTCTGTAGAAAAATACTCAGAACTGGATTATTTATGTATGCATTATTTTCTTTTAAACATACGCGTACGATCTGGGAGGAGGGAGTGGATTCCCGTGGCGCCTCGGCCCGGCCGACATTCCGAGGGATCTGTGACGGGTTTGAACATGTCCTGGTGATGGGCACCTGTTCGTGTTGCTGTAGTGTGGTGTCTGTCGCAGGGATACCGGCGCAGCAGCCCCGTGTCGCCACACAGCAGCCGCCCATTGGGGATTTTAATTCGCTTTGCGGCGGTCAGACTCGCAGGCTTTCATCTTCTGCCGGTGCCAGGCCCGGCATGCCGAACCGGGATCGGCTTCTTCCCGCTGAGCCGTGGGCTGCGAGCCAGGGAGCGGGCTGGCTGTGAGAGTAATCTTTAAACAGATCGCTGCCGTAATGTAGCGTGAGCGAGGAGGGCTGCAGCCAGCAGTTTAGAGTATGAAAACATTTCGGTAATTAGAACAGCAGGTACTCCCCACGTTGGATCCCGTGCGGTTCAGGAGCAGAGAAAGGCCTTCGCCAGACAAGGGTTACTGACATCCCTAGTGGGAATTTGCCTAAATCTAAAATGATTTTAAAATCTAGAATCCTCAAATGGGCCGTATGGGAGTGTAGGCGTGGAAACATGTCAGCGCGTGAGGGCGTGAGACTGTTCCTGTTCACTTCATGGTCCTCCATGGTCCTCCATGGTCCCTGGAGCAGGTGTGATGTCACCTCCTTGTTAGCCTCCTCTCCCTGACGTCCGTTAATAAGCCTCGTCTTACACTGACTGTTCCTTTCTTCCCGCCGTCTCTGCTTCCATGTGTGCCTTTGGCTTGCATGTTTTGTTTTTTTTTTTCCATGCGACTGTCCCAATTGCGAAAGTGGGTCAGTGAGCCGCGCCTCTGGGCTCTGTAGCTCCTGGAGTTCGCCCTTCCTCTTCCCTCTTGGAGGAATGTGGCCATCTGGATCCTTGAAACCCCCCCCTCGCCCCCCCCCCCACCCCCTGGCATGCAGGGAGAAGGATGGACATTAATCACCTGTTGTGCATATGCTCTTAAACCCCAAGATACAGGTGTGTGGCTCAGACAGAAGAGCCCCTCATCCTGATTTCTGTGGGTTCTAATTGGGGCCCTGGGCTCCTGAGGTTCCAGCGTTGTTCTCGAGCGGCAGCCCGCTGGGTCACGCGCGACTTGGTCTCCTGGCCAGCGCCTCCTTGGTGCTCCGTGGAGAGTGCACGGACCCAATCGCTCTGCCCAGAGACGCGTGAAAGGGAACCACCTGACGTGAGAGGGGTGTGACTTCGGGTGCCGGATTCCCCTCGGTTCTGCCCGCCATTCTTCGGAATTTGATGGTTTTGATTGCGTCGCTTAGTAATGGGAATCCATTACGGCCTCCTGACCTTCCTGCTTGCTTGCTGTGCTGTGCCGATCTCAGAATTTCGAGGAGTTTGCCTCCTGATTTCCAGAGGACCTCTGCTTATGATTGACTGTCTGAGTGCCTGACCTCCTAGGCCAGGGTAGTGTCCCAGTTTGGTGCTGGATGTTTCTTTCTGGCCTCGCTGGTGGCTGTGGTGCCCTCCATGTCAGAGGGGTACTTGGGGATCCCGGTTTGGTGGCTGCGCCAGGCCTGACCTCCTGCCCGTCCCACGCTCTGCCCGTCCCTAAACCCGCCAACTCCCTGCACTGACCTGCATGCCGCTTTGCCAGTGAGCAGCCTGCCGATTTAGCCGAATCCCGGTGCCGTGGTGCATTAGGCTTGTGCCAGGCCTTTCCGTGGGTCATTAGAGGGGACACTGTGCTTCATTGCGGTTGCTGTGATGTCAGTTTCCTTCACACCGTTGACCCATTCTGCCATTGTCATCTGATTTCCCCCCCAGCCCCCATCTGGAGGCGCGGCCTTTGGACAGGGGTGAACCGGTACTGAGAACGTGAGCAGTGCGGTCCTCATCATCCCCTTTTGGTTCATTTGCTCTCTTTTTTCCATCTGCGCTCAGTCAGTCTGTGTGCCTGATCCACTCCACTCCCTGTCTCCATTCGTCAAATGTGACACGTGTGTTTTTTTTTTTGAATGTCGCTGTCCTGAATAATGGTTAAGAGCCGCCCATTACCGATGCCGGCTTGCGTACGGATTCCCGGCTGACCTGTGACGACGGCTCTGTTTCAGATCCTGGTGAACTCCGTGAGCCAGCCAGCCCTGCCGTACGAGGACGTGCCGGTCAGCGACGGCGTCCTGCGTGACTTGCTCTTCAGCCCGGACCAGGAGTACGTCTACACCCTCACTGAGAAGCAGGTACGCTACACCCGCCCCACGTCTGCTGGGGCCTCGCTCTCCATGTGGGGAACGGCTGCGGACTTCCTGTCCCGCTTCAGTTCAGGCGTGAGGCGTGTCGGATGAGCCGTGTCTGACCCAGGACCTTCTTCTCATCATAAGAAGTCACTCTGTGTGTGTCTGCTGTTCTGCATTAGGCTGTCGGTCTGTCTGCTTGTCTTTTGTTGTGAGTTTGCCTGTGCTACTGTACTGTGCTAAGAAATGACCCTTTAATTTCTACTGCTATGAATTAACCCACTTTCCCCACCTGCTGTTCCTCTGTGAAGACACTTCTGATGAATACAACTAGACTGTGTCTTCCCTGGGTCAGTCGCACTGTGTGGCTTAAGTGTCTGACCATTGTAGTCCTCCTGGTTTGGTCTCTGTATAAATCCCTCACAGGTGTTTGGGGGGGGGGTGTTACCCTGCATCCAGCGGCTTCCGTTATTTCAATTACCTTCCATCCAAAGCCTGCTCTGCAGCCAGCACCCCCGCCCGCTCCCCTCCCTCCCCCCCCAATTTGCTCACAGCTGGTATGCATACCCGTCCTACCCAAGAAAAGGTCAAAGATAATTGATTTTTGTGTTCAAGCTGTTTTTCTTGCCACAACCATGTGAGCGTATGTAAACAGCTTCGCCACTGCTCTTTCGTTCTTTTTTGGGGGGGGCGGGTGATGAAAATGGCCTACCCACCTGTTGCCCATTTCACGGGGAGCCCCTTGTTTTGATTGTCTGCCACCGTAGCATCGACCCCCACCCCTCCAAGGTCGTGCCCCTGCTCCTGTAGCCCAGGGCCTCTCATCAGGAGCGCGCAGGAGGGGGTCTGGCATAGGGAGGCAGGCACCGCCGTCTTGGATTTGTCAGTGTTGTCGTCTCGGGGACCCCCGGGTAATGATGCACGATTGTGATTGGCTGGCCGCCGACATGGTGAGCTCCTTCCCCTCTTTCCCACAGATCTGGGATAAGCTGCGTCCTCTGAAGACTTTCAGTGTGACTGTGATCTCCTGTTTCTGTATATTGACACCATGGCCGTCAACCAAGCGATCTTCCTCCCTGCCTTAGATTCAGGCAGCTGGTGGGCAGCTGGAGATGAGTCGAGCACACGGAAGGTTCTGGAACCTGCACATGGGCGACGCTGCTTTGACGCCAGACCTGCCACAGGCCCAGGGTGGTCACCAGGCCGGCGCTTTCCCTGCTTGCCTTTCCTCCATCCTGTGGTTACCATTAAAAATAGGGAACGTATTTTTTAAAAATCCCAGTCAACAGCGGCTTAGCAGCAAGAGTAATGAAATGTCCTGCTGAAGCGGTGCGCCGCTCCGGGCCGATGCCGGGCCCTGCTACGGAACCGTCCCCCTGTGACTGCTGCGTTTATTCAAGGCTGTCGATCTGAGCCCAAGCCCCGCGGGCTGGTTTGTAAACACCTCCTGGCCGCCATGTTGCCCACATCGGCCGCGCCGTCCTGCTGAATCGCCGGCTTATCGGCCTGTATTACATTCCACATTCCCCACACGACACGCTGGGTGTCTTGCTCTATAATGAGTGTGAGTGCTGTTTACACTGTTAGTCTTCATCCTTATCGTAATGGCTTCATCCTGTGATACCCCTAATCCAAACACGCAGAACTCACGCGAACGCACTGTTGTCCTCTATAGATTAGTCTTAATCTCCTCTAATCAATCAGGGGCTGTTCTGAAAAAAAGAAGCCTTTATTGATTTATACAGATTGATTAAAAATGCTGATAGGCTCATTCTCGCTCGTAGTCTGTAGTTGGACACTAATTGAATTGTAATTATTTAGAGTGCTTGTTCGCTGTACTGTGCTCATTACTCCTCCGAGCTGCGGCTAATCCGCGCCCGAGAGTGAGGCAAGCGCCATAGTGGGGGACCTCACCCCCCTGGGTGGCATGCCGTTTGTCGCTGGCGAGGCTGTGCTGGGAATCCTCTGTCTGTCCGGTATGGATCATTTGCCAGTGGTATTTTCCATGTGAATTTCCCAAATTCCCACATTCATGTTCACGCACTTGTTTGTTTCTGTTTAGTTTGTTTAGTACGTTTTTGTTTGGCTGGGAGGGGTGCAGTGGAGAGCATGAGTTGTTGGGGCTGTTGCAACCTGGAAGGTTGATCCCATGGCTCTGGAATAGCTCACTTGAGCTAGATACTTATCCTGAGTGTCTCCAGGTTAATAAACTGAGACTTGTATTAAACTGAGAGGTTAATAAACTGACAGTATATCAAGTCACTTTGGAAAACAAAAGTTATTTGCAGCTAAAAGTTTTTTTGTTGCAGAAGTAGGGAAGAATACTACTGCAATGTTTCTTTCCCAAGCGAAGGACAAACGGTGGAGATGTGTTTCTCTGTGATGCTGTAGAAGCTGTGCAGCCACTTGTCCTTCCGGTGGGTGGAGTCTCATCAGGACCACGCCCACCCCTGTCAGGTCATGCTTTGTGGTGTTGACACCCTCAGAACCGCCCAACATTCCTGTCTGCTCAGTAAGCGGCAGGGCTGGGCGTCCGGCCTGAGGTCCTGTCCGTATCTGCAAACTGATTTCGTTCACGTGCAGACAAGTCCTTTGCTGTGGCTAATAATTTGTGTGTTTTGAATTTCGAGCAGGGATTTCGGAAGTCGCTCTGCATCCTGGCTGGCTTTTCTAGTCCGATTGGTCTAAATAACACCAGCCCTGTTCTTTGCCACCTCCTCAAAGCACCGTCAGAGTGATTATAAATTTAATATACATGGCTGTAAGAGCTGTGGTCGTCAAATTTGAATTGTCACACTTGATCTAACTGGTCACACATTAAAGAAACTGTGGCAGTTCAAAAAAATCTTGAGGCCGAGCCCAGAGATTCACAGCGATTGTTATTATTAAAATTCACTCGGGGTCTTTGCCTCTAATGGAAACTGGGACAGTATCTGTCTGGAATCACACTGGCAGTTGTATTAAGAGATTGTGTTCAGACCACTGGTTTAAAAGGCCACAGGTCCTTGGATCAAATGCCTGGGGGCCCATAAATATGGAGCAGGGTCTTTTTCAGTTCTGATAGGAAACTTTAAGCTTGGCATTGGATTACCCTGTGCTGCCAATCACTGCCTAGTTTAACACAATGGGTGACTTAAACCAATCAGACACAGACTGCACAATATAATCCCGCCCACTTTTTGGACGCTCATTTTACCCATCACCACTTTTCAGTGCTGACTTGGTCTTGTATTTACACCCCTGCAATGGGCATGCAGAGACCTGCCAATGGATCATGTGCCCCTGGAATCTTAAATGAGGCTGACTCTTCCTCCAGATACGAGAATCCAAACGCCTGTCGATGATCCTGAACCGGACAGGCTTTTTTTAAGAAACAAAAAAAAAAAAGAAGAGATCTCGCCCGTTACTTCAGACTGGCTTTCATTACAATCTGGCAGGTCTGAAATGGAATAGAAATGAATTGCTTTGAAGTGATATGTTCCCCTTGCCCCTTCTTTTAAAACTCCCTTTCAGTATGGGAGTTAATGGGATATAATCCCCAGGTCATCCATTTTGAAATGGAGGAGCTTTTTCCACTGCGGAGAATGAGGCCGAGGTACAGGGAGTAAAAGATTGTAATCCCTTTTGAAAGTGACAGCCGGTGAAGGAGATACAGTCAGATGGGATAATTTGCCGGCACGGCTGGTTTCCGCGCGGGCCCCTAATCTCAGGAATCAGCTCCTCTATCTCTGTCCCTCTCCTATCTCTGGCTGTACGGCGGAATAGTTTTTTGAAGCACGGGTTTTTGTTGATAGGAGTGAGGGGGGTGAGGGCTGGGGGTGGCGGGGGCTGGGGGGGGTGCAGGCATTTGAAATGTATCTGTTTCTCTGTGGATAGGGGTCTATCTTTCCACATCTACGATTACACAAAATAAAATAGGTAATAAAAACCAGTAAAGGACACTTTAAATTCCGTCACCGCGCCGCCGATTCGTCCCTTCGCTTATCTTTCCTTAGCCGTAATTCCGCTCGAGTGTAATCTGGCGCCGTTTGGATTTTAAGGCGCCCCACCAAAAAAAAAAAAAAAGAAAAGAAACAGTCGACTTTTGTATTAACTGCCAGTGCTGACAGGTGTGATGTGAAGATATATTTAAGGCAGATGAGACAGGCAGTTTGTGTTTCTCCGTGTTGTTTTCCCACCGCCTTTTATTCCACTGGATAATGGAAAATGCCAGCATGCGGAATACTTCAGAATTCCCATTTACAACACTGACAGTGTAATTTACCATTCCACATGTTCTCTGCCGTTTAATTAAAAGTTCCTGATTGCCAGATGTATACCTATCCGCCACAAACAATGGTCCTTTGGAGGGCACCACGCTGAGCGTTTAGCTGAAGGAATAGAGGTTCTGGTTTGTGCACATTGGAATTATGGGCTCTGGCTGGGAGGGATCCTTTATCCTTGGTTGCTTTTGTGGCTGAAGTTCAGCGCAGAGGGCTGGCTTCCAAAAAAAGAAATAAAAGGACCATGAGCAAATTAACTAGCATAATGAAGTTGGTCAGTTTGTCAACTCCTTTAAAAGTGAATTTGACGCCGTAAGTCGTCCTTGTTGAAGGTGATTCTTTTATACCGTGAAGAGCACAAGCCGGGCCGTTGTTTTTACAGCAGCTCCTAAAGTTAACATTCTCTTTCTCTAAGATGTGAAGGCGCCCAGTGTCCAAGATCGTCAGCCATTTATCGGTCGTCAGCCTTGTTACTGACTGACATTTTCTCTCGTGGTTTAAAAAAAAAAAACAACAAATCTTGTCTGGCTAAGAGCGCATGGTCTCCAGTAGACTCAGTTGTCATTTGGTGATTCAGACATGCACTTACAGTAATTTGGCTGCCTGGGTCATTGAATTGCATCTAGTAAACAGATCAGCGCCCTTGAGGTCTGTCGCTGGTAATCCAGGCGCATGCTCTTTATCATGTACCTCTGTGTTCATCCGCTTCTGTAGAGTACAGCTAAGCTATCACGCTGATGTTGAGTAGCTCTGGCTTTGGAAGGCAGTTTAGCAGTTCTGACAGGTAGAGACTCTCTGGAGGACTGAAAGCATCTTTAAACTTGCCGATCAAGTTTGGAGAGAAGCAGGCTGGTTAGACCTTCCTCTGTCCCATAACAAAAGCACAGAAACTCCTCTGTGGGTCCTCCCCTCTGATTGAGGGGCTATAAAGCCGCAGCCCCTTAGGCAGGATTCTGTTATGGAGGGAAACAGATGGGAGGGGCTCTGTAGGAGTGCCTGGGACCCCCCCCCCCAGGAGAGCTTCCAGCGAGGCTTGCCGTATTTGTTGAGCTTGAATGAAGAGCACCTCAAACACTGTAACAGTTTCAGCCTCACCTGGCTTGGAAAGTAATTGAAGGTTTTGATGAGCAAAGGGGGCTTCTGGTTCTGTGGAGTCGTGGGTGAAGGGGCTAGTGGTCTTAGAGACGTTTTAGGCCATCGTCATGCTCAGACTTTCATAACTGAAGCCAATGAGTAACTTGAGTTTCAACCTCGACTTCAACGTTCAGCATTGGCTGTGTGGATTCTGCTATCGAGAAGTTTCTCGGTGGGCCATCAAGTGCAAATATGGCCGCCTTGACTAGTTTCTTTCTTACCGACCCATACCATGTGACCTGGCTATGATTGAGCTCACGTTGAAATTTATGGGCTGTATTATTCTCCCAGGTTTCATTAACCAGTGAATAATGTGGGGTTTTCCTGTAAGCTCTAACAAGGAGGCTCTGCGTGGGCCTTGGCGCCGGGCCGGACTCGTGTCCGTGCGGATCGTCCTCCTCGCTCCGCTACGCCTGAGAGCGTGAGCGTGTTAAATCCTCTGGACAGCCCTGCCAGCTCCTCTCACCATCCTGCCTTATTGATGCAGCTACCTACATATAAATCAGTCTCTGCCATGATCCCCCCCCCCCCCCTCGACGTACGTCAGGCTCACGAGTGAGACGTTCGGGCAGCTCCAGAGCTTTTCCCTTCAGGCGAGGGAAGGAAGTTCAGTTGCTTCTTGAAGGGCCTCCTGTTACAGGCACAGCTGGGTATTTCATTACATGTTACTTTACCTCCTCATGTCCCGCCCCGGGTTGGACAGGACAGGTTGGGCGACCGGTAATGGCTCCCAAGGATGACTCTTTGATATATGGGGTAATTCGCCTTTCTTCAGCCTGGACAAATTTAAAAACCTTAGGCCAAGAATCAGGGGGGGGAGGAATCGTCCCATTGTGTGTTGTGGAACTCAGTATAGCCTATCTGTCATGCTTTGGTGGTATCATGATGCACAGCTGGGCCATTCACAGAAAGCCCGTGTAAATCGATCCAGTGCACATGGCCTGTTTATGAGCAAAAATATTCATTTCCAGAATAACTTTTTTTTTTGTGCGCCCCCCCCCCAACCCCTTTGTTTTTTTTTTTTTTGGTATAGAGACACCCTCCATGACCCAGATAAGAGGCTCTTCCTTGGTTGCGGTGCTCATATGATGAATGTCTCCACTCCTCCCGCAAACGTGGCATCACATCTGAAAGCTGTCACTGCATCTTATTAAAGATGGAATAACGTTCCATTAAATCTTCTGTCATATCCTGTTTGCCGCTTATTTATATATAATACGCACACGCGCACATACACATACCAACTCTGGTGAAAGACTGACTAAACTGAGTCTTTGTTCCCATGGAATTCTGGGTAGAGGGAGCTTCTCATTGGCGGTCGGCGGTCCAGTTAAGCTTGAATATTCTGCTGCTTGTTGTATGTGGATAATGATGGCGGCCTGGATGCCGCCGCCGTGCCGCTGCTGTTATTTCTGGCCGACAGTTCGATTCCGATAGTAAAGATAATTATGCTAATGTGCCCCGCAGCACTTCGCTCCTGCGTGAGCATTACTCTCACGTTTTTTTATTGGGTGGGTGAAGGATGTACAGGGTTGATGGGGGAGGGGTGCGGGTGGGGTTAGCGGCTGGAAATGCGTAACTTGAGCTTGCCTGGGTTTTTCACCCCCCCTCCCCGAGATCCCAGGTACCCCGACAGCTGTGAAACACACACACACACACACACACACGCACACACACACACACACACGCACGCCTGTGGTCTCAGGCTGTCCTGCTAACTCCTTACCTTCTCCTGCATCTATCTTCCTTTATCTCCACCTGTAAAGTGAGATCCTTATCTTTCTGCTGTTGGCTGCCTTCCCAGTCGTCACGTTTTAATCCGTGGGGGGGGGGGGGCACAGTGCAAATACCCACTTCCTCAGCCTCTCTCCACACTGTATTATTACATTCCTTTCAGGTGTGGTGATTGGGTTGGGTGGGGCTGCCAGTGACTATTAGCACATCCCCCCCCCCATCTCACTGAACCTATATTTTAGACAGGTTTTTTTGTTGTTGTTTTTGAGAATTGGGACCTTTGTTGTATACAAATCCCCAGCAGCTCTGTCATGTGATACGGCACCCAGACTCCACCCGTAATTGGTGGTTTCTGACAACGGACAGGTGGTGCTGAAACCTAGGTGGGTCCTGCTGGCTCACGTCGCTGTGCAGAAGCTGTACACACATTTTACATTTCTAACTGACACTTTTAGCCAAAGCCACTTGCATTCCAGGGAAGGGTTGCAATTTGTGTGTTCTGGAAATTGAACCCACAACCTTTGCATTTGTTTGTTAGTGCAGTGCCCTACTTGTGGAGCTACAGGACTCCAGCAAGCTGTAGCTTGTTCAGAGCGCCGTCAAAGAGGCCTCCAGGAGAGCCTGTGGGGGTGGTCCGGGTGGGCTTTCCTGGGGGGGGGTATCCCTGCCCATCTGGAGACCCCCTTCAGACTGTCAACCGTCGTGGAGCTCAGGCACAACACAGGGCACCGGGGAGCGTGAGGAAGGGTCCCTCAGGGCGGGGTCGGCCCAGCCTCTAGCTGTCACGTCCTTGATAGAGCTGTGGTACCCGTGGAGCCCCCAGCACCATCCTGTAACCTGCCCCCCCTTCTCTCCTGTCCCCCACCCCCCACCGCAGGTGAGCCGGGTGCCAGTGGAGAGCTGTGAGCAGTACACCAGCTGCGGCGAGTGCCTGGGCTCTAAGGACCCCCACTGCGGCTGGTGCGTCCTGCACAACATGTAAGTGTGTCCTCAAACCCACCACACACCGGCGTTCAATGACATCCTGCTGCTGTGACGTGGCGGTAGATATGTTTTGGAAGAAAGTTTCCATGTGTCATTAAAAGGGACACTTCAGGATTTTTGGGTGTCTTTTTTTTAAATACTTTCCAGAGTTTTCAGCCGAACAATGGGACCTCATGTACGGAACCCCCAGCTGAAATGCACTGTGTGTGGGGGGGGGGTGGTGGTGGGATATATAGTTCAGGGCCTTTTCTCCTCAGTAAGACTGTTTGAGCCACAAGGTCAGCTGACCGATAATTAAAAAAATTTTTTTTAGATATTGGGCTGAGATGGAGGCGGTGCTTATGATCAGCTGCAGGTGGTCCAATCATCTCTCAGAGTTTCTTGATTGCATTGAGAGCTACATATTTACACACAGTGCCCATAATTCTTTATTACTGCAGAACTGTCCCATTAAAAATAATAATATCCTAAAAGCTGGATTCCTAACCTCCAGCTTGCTGTGCTTTTGTTATTGGGGTATAAGTTTGGTCCGTTGTCAGGCTACCTGACTGATGGTGCTTGTCACCCGGCTCACGGAGCCCGTCAGATTTATCACCATAGCGATAAGAAAATAAAATGTCACTGGAGTGGTTTGGAATGCGTTCCGCTGACTGGGAAAAATCCTGGAATGAGACGTGGGATAATTTAGCTCCTTCGCCCTTATAGCCGTGTCTGCGGCTGGCAGCGTGGGGAATACGGTGTTCGGCTGAGTTCTCAGTGGGGGTATGGCGTTCCCAGGTAGCAGGTGAGACCCCGGCCCTGCACACAGCCTTTTTAACCCTCCCCCCCCCCCACCGTCGCCCCCAGGTGCTCCCGGAAGGACCGCTGCGAGAGGGCCAGGGAAGCAGAGCGCTTTACCTCCAGCCCGACGCAGTGCGTGCAGCTCAGCGTGCAGCCCGGGAACGTGTCCGTCACCATGTCCAAGGTCCAGGTAAGCCCCCCTCGCCCCGCCCACCTCTCCCCTCCCACCTGACCTCGCCCCGCCCACCTCGCCTCGCCCCGCCCACCTCTCCCCTCCCACCTCGCCTCGCCCCGCCCACACGCCGCCTCGCCCCGCCCACTTTAACTCCCCTCTGCCCCTACCCCCTCCCAGCTGGTGCTGCACGCTCACAACGTTCCGGATCTTTCCGCCGGCGTCAACTGCTCCTTCGACGACTTCACAGAGAGTGAGGGCCGCATTGAGGACGGGCTCATCTACTGCCTATCCCCAGCCGCCCGCAACGTGGCGCCCATCACCCGCGGCCAGGGTGAGCCCCCCCCCCATTCGTGACGTTGATGGATCAAAGTGATCAGTGTCATTATCGCCGCTTATTGGAAGTCCCACTTCAGGTGTCCGGTAAATAGCTGCCCCGTTCGGATCTAGTGGGGGGCAGGGGGGGTCGCAAAGCCCGATTGGCTCTTCGCATGACCGGCTCTGCGGCTGCCAGCTCTCTCTGCCGCTGTTAATCACATCCTGGCAGCGAGGGTGTCTGACCCACCTTTACGTTTTCTGAGCCTTACACAATTCTGGCCGATGTAGACTGATCCGAGTTGCGCATTGGAGTGGCCCTGCCCCTCGCTGCCAACAAGGGTTTAGAATTTTGATGAGCATCGGGTCAGGTCAGGTTGGGGAGCATGCACTAATGCACCCACCCCGGGCAGACACACAGTCCAGTCCCACCCCCCGGAAATGGCCATCCATCTGCGGCAGCCAGGCGTTACGTGGATGTCCCCTCAGCCTGGTCTGGAGCTGGGTCACCCTCAGGGAAACGCACTATATGGCCTTAGTGCTGTAACGGTGAAGATAAGTGGAGACTAACACCTCTTTCTGTTTCTATCTAATGCACCCCCCCCCCC